TATATACATATATAAAACATATATATTATATATACACACATAATATATATATATATAAAATTAAAACAGAGACATGCCTTTGCAGCCAAACACAACATTTTCTGCGATGATTATAGCCATGATTTGGAAAAGGCAAACAGTAAGCTAATGCAATTATAAAGTATACTATTTTAAGCGGACAACTGGAAAAAGAATTTAAAAGATGAACAACAAGTAAATAAGGAAAACCAAAGCAAAGCAATATGAAATCACAATGCCAGTTTAAAGCCAGTAAAAAATATCACACACAGGAGAACATATCCTCCAGGAAACGGTCAACAAGCTTCCTTTTTGTAAAGCACAAATCAAAGTTATAAAAAGCGAAATTATGTACATCATTCAACATTTGCAAATGCTCGTACACACAAATCTGGATAAAGCTCGAAATAACGCTGCAATGTCCACAGCAGAGTTGAGGCTGTCCAGATTTACAAAGAAAAAAGAAAGAAATACAAAACAGAGCAAACCAGAAACAAATGAAACTTAGAAAAAAAAAGAATTAATCATTGAAAATCAAAATAGAGAAAAATGAGAATGAAATAGGAAATAACATTTTTTCTCAAAGCGTCGACAACAATTATAGCCAGATGAACAAACAAACAAGACAAATAAACAAACAGTCAAGAGGACGCTGAAGTTGGGGGAATGAAAAGCAGAACTGACACTCACTCTAAGCCAGGCCATCAAGTCAGTGGTATTGTAAAGGGGAGGCTACCATGGCCAAATACGTACATGAAAAAACGTAAATAATAACAGAAAAAGTGTTGTGCACAGTGATAGAAATGACTTGAAGCGTTAAAATTCACGCAAACACACAAACGCATACGTGAGTACCAGCACTCGTCATGTACACACAATACAAGCACATCATTTTTGAGCTGACACGTCATGTAAAAGAGCACACGTATGGAGAGAAAAAACAACCGAAAACACGCACACGCTCGCGCGCGCGCGCTCACACACACAAACATACACACGCACACACACACTCACGCACGCACGTGCGCACACGCACAAATGCTTACACATACGCAAGCATACACACATACACACACACACATACACACACACACACACTCAAAAACACACACACGCGCACACACACACACACACACACGCACGCACACACAAACACATCCACCACCACCACCACCACACACATACACAGACACATACAGACACATACACAAACATATAAAACTCATTGCACTCACACACATCCGCAC